AATACGCGGAATAAATATGTGCAATAGTAGTAGGTGGGCCATGCCTTCGGCATGTGGCCCCCCTAATAAATATGTGCAATAGTAATAGGTGGGCCATGCCTTCGGCATGTGGCCCCCCTAATAATACGCGGAATAAATATGTGAGATAGTAGTAGGTGGGCCATGCCTTCGGCATGTGGCCCCCCTAATAATACGCGGAATAAATATGTGCAATAGTAATAGGTGGGCCATGCCTTCGGCATGTGGCCCCCCTAATAAAAATAATACGCGGAATAAATATGTGAGATAGTAGTAGGTGGGCCATGCCTTCGGCATGTGGCCCCCCTAATAACATAGGCTATATATTAACTAATGAGTTAAACAGCAGCTGTGTTTATATAAGCATGTTTACTGTATGGATTCAGGCTGAATCCCGTTTTTGGGTTGATACTGGACTGATTTCTGTTATTAATATCAGATCAGGACCTCCCTGCTCCTGTTTCTTACCTTTGAATTTGCTTGTTGGAGCAGCGGCTCCCGGCCTGCGGCCCCTGGCTCTCCTCCCACGGCCCTGCCCTCTTTTCCGGCTAAGCTGGGCTGCCTGGGGCTTCCCTTCCTCTACATCAGGGTGAGCCGGGTTCTCCTCGTGGGGCTGCGGTGAAACAACCTCGCTGCTGTGATCTGGGGTCATACCTGGGATGAAGGAACATTAAATGGATGCATTTAAACACAAACATGAGACAGAAGGGGTCCAATCACAATAAATGGTTTGACTTAAACTGTTGTCTTCAGCCTTCTGAGGCGGGCCGGCTCCACTTCTGTCTAAGGTCTCCGTTTTAGCAGAAGACGATGAAACATCTGTTCAAAGAAAGAAGGTGTTAAGGACATTTCTTCAGCTTTTATTTTAACCGATAAACCTCCAGTTTGGGATCCCTGTACCTGGTGGGGGCAGCGGCGGTTGCAGTGGGGGCCTCAGCATGGGTTTCTCCATCTTCTTGGCGTAGAAAGCACCATACCAGACTCTCAGCTCTGTCCCAGGCAGCACATCCTGAAAAACACACAGCAGGAACCAATGGAGGAAGAGCGTCCCGACGGCTTTAAAGCGCAGGCTGGACGGACGTACCTGGGAGGTGTTGAAGTAAACATCGTCGTCCTGCTGGTAGGCGGTCAGATTCTGGTGTTTGTGATCAGAGGCCGGTCGCACCAGCATCATCCAGTTGCAGTCGTCCTCGCTGCTACTGTCGAAGCACACCACAGTGCCATTTCTCTGAAAGATCTGCCGAGACGGGATGCAGTGTGAACGCAGAGATAAAGCGAGGAGCTAACAGACACATCGGCAGGACGAGCATCGCCTTCCATGCAGGCGGCCATCTGGAAGCACCTTCAGAGGGAAAGCTCCTTCTTTCTTCAGACTTGGGACTCTCTTCGCCTCGAAGGGTCCAAACCGGGTCCTTTTGACCAGCCGGCGCAGGACAAACACCCCTTCCTCTCTGTTCCCCACCTTCCTGATCTCCAAGCTGTTTGGTAGAGATGATCTGATGCGGAACAGAGATTAAGAGTTTGTTTAAATACAAACAGGCTAAATCCCAAACCTAGAAATTAAAGGAGTTACAATAAATGGGGTAAAACACAACATTGGGCTTTTTGCAGATGACGTTATAGTTTTCTTTTTGGGGAAAAACACAATAAATCACAACCTAAATTGATGTCACTCCAAGAAACACTCGGCTATCTTTCTGGATATAGAATAAATATTTCCAAAACTCAGATGTAGAATTCAATTATATACCTCCTCAAGATCCAAAAGACATGGAAATTTAACTGGAAAATGAAATGTATAAAATATTGAGAGAAGTTACAAAAAAAATCTATCGTTTTCGTTAGCCTTTAGATGTAGATGGGCCGGTGTAGATGGAAAAATGTCAGGGCCAAAAATGGTTCCCAGTCCGAGCCTGGAAAGGAGGGATGGCTCTACCCAAGCTAGAAGAGTTTTATTATGCAGCGCATCTTAACATGCATATCGTTGGTGTGATCCTAATTATTATAGTAAATGAAAACAGATTGAAATTTGAACATATGAATAACTGATTCCAAACTTTCTTGGAGATAGAGAAGCTTAGGGGCAAGAAACCATGGAATAGAAACCTATTCTAGGTAAATGGAACAAAAAGGATCCAGAAATATGAAATTCAAAATAAAACAGCAAAATTAAAATGGATAGCTTATGAAAGTAAATGTATGCCAACAAAAATGGATAAAAGTTATATATCAAGTTTGATTATATAGAGTACCATTAAAATCTAAACTATAGCTATATTTGTGTATACTCAATGTTGGTGGCAGCTAAAAAGTGTATCAGGAAGAAATGGATGAAGATCGAGGTGCCAATGAAGGATCAATGGATATCTACTATAGAGGACATACTTTTAACGGAAAGGTTAACATATAGACTACAGGAAGCACTAATGGACACAAAAATAAAAAAATTGGTTTCTTACAAGAAAGAAAATCAATGTGTTTTATTTATCTGTATTTTTTTTTCTTTTCTATGCTGTATTACATGTTATGTATGTGCTTAAAAAGACTAATAAAATATAAGTGACAAGAAAAGAAAGAGGCTAAATCCAGCCAAGCCTAATGAGATCCATCAGGTACCTAATGGCAGAAATGGGTCCGTTTAGCATAGTTTGAACAGTTTGAGTTTGGAGTTAATATTAAAGATATAATGCAGGATTTTCTTTTTCCAGATCATCTTAATAAGTGGTCCTCCTAATTGTCAATCATTCTGGTGATTTGTTTAGGTAAGGCCTTCCAACGTGCTCGTCCCTATTTTCACTCACCACTGGTGAGTCTGACATAGTGGAAACTTGCAAATCTTATTTTGGAAAGTAAGCGTGTATGAGCGATGCAAACAGCAACTTTTAAACAGAGCGTGCACGAGGAGAAAGGGCTGGTGCTCTCACACGCGTTTAATAGGTGTTACCTCTCGGCTGCGGGTACAGGGTGGTGCATGTGCTTTTCTTTTTTAAAGTGGAGAGGGTGGATCTTTTCAAAAATCTGTGAAAATCTGCCACTATACCTTTAAAATCTGATACGTTAGTATGGAAATGAGCTGCATGGTCAACTCTTTGATCCCTTGCAATATAAGACAAATATACCAAAAATACATGTTTTTAAAAAGCAATTTCATTCTTAGGAGATAAATCTGAATAGTTTCTCTGTTAAAATTATGAATTAAATGCGGAGAACTTATCCAGGAGGTCAAAAAAACAAAAAAAACATGATGTCATCTAAAGCACTGTGGGCCACAATGACTCAGATGAGCTGTGATTCAACAGTAAGAGAGTGGGGGAAAAAATTAAAATGGCATCCAGGGGGCGTGCAGGTGGGGCACGACCCATGTACGGAGGCCTTAGACCTCGACACAGGCGACCCAGGTTCGAATCCAACCTTTGGTCCTTTGCTGCATGTTCTCCCCCTCTCTCATACCCAGAGATGGCAAAAGTACTCACCTTCCGTACTTGAGTAAAAGTACAGATACTTGTGTTAAAAAATACTCTGGTAAAAGTGGAAGTACTGATTAAACTTCTTTACTCAAGTAAAAGTAACAAAGTACAGGCTTGTAAATTTACTTACAGTATAAAAGTAAAAGTAGAAACCACTTTTTTCATGCCGTTGCCTACATTTTAAATGGATGTCTGCCAATAGGACTAGATCTCCGTTGTGTTCATTTTCAATCATCTCGTCGTCCATGCTACTATGCTAACGCCACCGCCACCAAGCTGCAATGATTTCCCGCGAATGAATACCACCGAATCTGTCGATTCATCTTGTAGTGGTGCGTCAAATGCAACGTAGATTCCCATCCAATTAGATTGAATTTAGTATTGATGACTTGAAAAATAATAACGGTAACTCCATTGAAATGATTCAAAACTAAAGTAACGAGCCAATTTTTTTAAAATGTAAGGAGTAGAAAGTACAGATATTTTTGTAAAAATGTAAGGAGTAGAAGTAAAAAGTCGCAATAAAAATAATAAAGTAAAGTAAAAATATCAGAAAAATCTACTTGAGTACAGTAACGAAGTATTTGTACTTCATTACTTCCCATCTCTGCTCATACCCCAAGCCACTAGTGCCGTAAAAAAAAAAAAAAAAAAAAGTTATAAAAAAAAAAGGGCATCCAGAAGAGAAATCCAAGGTAAAACCGCTGCTTAGACGAGGGCCGTTCTTAAAGCAACATCACTGGGATGATTGACAGAACTTTGGGGAAAAAGTTTCCTGAGCGACAAAACTGTGGGAGAAAATGGCCCGTTAAATTAGGTAATGAAAATGTCTGACCATGAGAGAGTCAACCAGGTGAAAGTTTGGTCATGGTCTAGTCAAATCCTGGACTTGACTGATAAAAAGCTGCACGATGAACTCTGTGTCACACACTGGGTTAACAATCTACCACATTGGTGTTGCAGGCTCGCTCAGTTTTACAGAAACTGGATAACAGATGTTGCTGCTATTGGTGACAAAACCAGTTATTAGGTTTGACGTAAAAGAGGAGGATAATTAGTTAAAGTCTTGGGGAAATGGTCGTTCCAAACGAGTGGTGCACGACTTTACACGAGTGAATAAAGTGAATGTGATTGGTTGTTTATCAAGGGGGCGGGATTGTTGTGGCAGAAGATTCGCAAACCAGTTTGGTTGTGGCTGGTTTTTTCGGAAGCATCTTGCTAACCAGTTAACAACTTAGTGCTAGTAGGTTCCCAATGGGAAATTCCATTGGGACCAACTAAATTGGTGACTTAGAAACGACACTGTCAAGGAACGCTATGGACAGAGGAAACATGCAAGAGGAGGAGAGTTTAGTGTCGGAGGTCGTGGATGAGTCTCCTCTGTGATACGTTTTTTATTTAGAGGAGGAAAGCGGGGATGAAGATGTTGTGGAAGAGGACGCCAGGGCGGCAGAAGCTGGGTTTGGTGTAGAAGGCTTCCAGCCGTACATGTTTGAGCCCTTGCCTCACAACGCTGCCAGTTCTGTTAGCTCTACGCCTGCTGAAGACACAGACGTCCATCCCCGTGAACACTGGGACGGAACTCAATGGGAAAGGAAATTATTCTTATTTCAACCGTTGCGTATATTAGCTGCGACATATGAATCAAGATGCTATTATTGACAGATGACCGTTGATATATGATTGGCCGAATTTAGGTGTTCAGGCTGACGTATAACTAACTGGCCTGCAGAAGATAACGAAATAAAATCACAGATTTTAAGACAGGATTTTTTTTTTATAGAAATTTTCTAACTTTTGGGACAATATGGTCTGATAAAGACATCTATATACATGTTTAAGCCAGAATGATTTGACATTTAAAATGACTTCCCTATGACTTTGATTTATTCTTTTTTTTCCCATGATAACTGTGATCATAATTTGAAACATGTCAGTGCTAAACCAAAAACTTTTTCTGGAAATGCAAAAAATCTATAAGGAGACAAAATCGTTTTACTGCATTTTTTTAAATGATTTTTAAGATAATTTGGGATAAATGCACCTTTTTTCTCTTTTAAATGCAATTAGTCAGTGCTGTATATTCTTAACGCCTTGAAAAAAAGTGTGTTTTTTCCAGTGGAAAGCTTGTTTAAAACCAGCTCTGTCCCAGCTGCCAACTCACCGAGCCCGGCTGAGGACGAAGGAGTCCTGGACGGTGACCAGGGGCCCCAGCTCAGGGCACTCAGAGTCATGGTACTGGGCACAGTCCTCACACCCTGTGGAAGGATCACATGTGTCACCATCAGCCTGTCAGACACCACAGAGGGATGGATGGATTCATACTCACAGATGAACTCATCTGGGGTCTGCTCAGCCATTATTCCAACCTGCAGAGAGGAAATTGGTTTATTTATTTTATTGGGGATTTACCTGCAAATTAACGGATCATATTGTAATTTACAGATCAACTAGTTGTAGGAGTGTTTAAATAACTGCAGATCTTAAGCAGAATGTGATGGTTCAGCTGTACCTGAACACACCTGGTAGATAAAGTGTGTTTCACTCCTTTATTCTAATATTTTAAATATCTCTGATCCTGAATTTTTCTACCTGGGGATCCGTGTTGGAATTAGGATCCAGGATTTGAGTGATTCCTAAACTCTAGCCGGGTTTTAACTCCGATCTGAGCGGCTTCTCTTCTCTACAATGTAACAAAGAACAGTTGGCATGGCGGCTGGATCGGAGACGCAAACCCCCAAACCGGAGTCTGTGCTTCTCAGCGCCGGACTGGGAGCGGAGCGAGCGGCGCAGAGAAGCTCCGAGGCGGCCGGAGCGACCGGCTGCAGCTTCACTACCGGACCGCGCCGCCGTTTGGAGGCCGAGCGGGCGGCATTAGTGAGGAAACACGTTACCTTTTCTGCAAAACAGCCTTCATTTACCGAGTCCTGACTCCGGGTTCCAATCCGCTCCAGAAACGGCGCAGGACCGGAAGCGACCAGCGCGCAAGGAATTATGGGAGATGTAGGCTGTGCACTGGAAAAAATTCTCAAATTAAGGGTATTTACCCTTAATTAAGGGTATTTACCCTTAATTTGAGTCGGTAAATGAGATAGTTTGCCAATAGAATGAGTATTTTTACTCTTAAAATGGTATAATTACATAAAATGCACTTGAAATAAGACAATGTAATTGTTTTTTTTCTTATTTTAAATGTATATTGACTCGTTCTAATGGCAAAATGCCACTTTTATCTCCTCAATCCAAGAACAAATTCACTTATTTTAAGAAAAAATAACTTATCTAGATTTTGATTGTTTCCAGTGTACTGGAAAAACGATCTAGAAGTAAATATATCTTAAATGATGTGTATTTACCCTTAATTTGAGTAGGTAAGTGAGATAGTTTATTAATGAAATTAGTATTTTTACTCTTAAAATAAGATAATTAGATAAAACACACTCGAAATAAGACAATGCAATTTTGTTTTCTTATTTTAAATTTAAATTGTCTTGTTCCATTTGCAAAATGTCTCCCTTACTTCCTCAATCCAAGAACAAATGCACTTATTTTAAGAAAAAATTACTTATTTAGATTTTTTTTTCCCAGTGTAAAGAGACTGTTGATCAAACAAACTATAATAATGGGGAAAACACAAGATAGGAGCCTCAATACAATCCCTTTTAAAGAAATTAGTTTTATTTCTTTACTATTAAAAAATATTTATTTAGTTTAGTCCTAAATACTTTTATTCACAAGTTCCTTTAAGTTATTTCCCCCCCACTACGTAATATTTTAAAGTGCCTTTTACAGATACCCCTACTGCTGAAACTGTAGCTTTATTTTGCATATTTTAAACACTTATTTCAAAAATATTCTTTAATGAAGTTTCAGTGAACCTTATGAGAGGTTCTCTACACAATAATGTGAGTAATTTAAAAAATCAAGATCAAGAAAAGGGTTTTTTTAGTAAACAAAAGCAACATATGTGTATTTATTACCCGATTATGATTGCCACTGATACGTTTCCGATTGTGATGTTGTAACGTTCCTCTTCGTTATCTTATCTAAGATTGTGGTTAAAATAAGCTTCTATTGACTTCTACAGATCCCTGGGACACTATTGGTATATTTAATTTATCATACATTGAATAAAATGTGTCTGTTTACACAGTACCAATATAAGTTTGTGCCTAGTAAGCAAAATAAAACCATAATTAAGACCAAGGAACCCATTAGGTGGCTCTAGGAGAAAGATGTAGAAGTTTAAAGAAGACTAATGAAAACTTTGAACGTCTAAAGAAGAGCTGTTACACCCATCATCTAAATTTAGAGGCATTATAACATGTAACCCATAGACCCATAGTAACTCTGGAGAAGCTGCAGGAATCCAGGGAGGATCTGAACAGGAGAAGCAATAGTTAAAAAGGGTCCAGATCTGAGCTTTATGGAGGGGCAGTAAGGAGGAAGCCATTGCTGGAAGAAGGCCACAAGTTTCCTGAATGCAGGTCACACAGGAAAAAATGTGGAAGTAGTTTATCTGCTGAGACCAAAATCATTTAACTGTACAACTATGGGGTTAGATAACTGTCAGTAAAAACGTATACATGGGTGTCACCTAGTGATGCGCTGATGCCATTTTTTGGCCCCGATACCAATACCTGGATACCTGGCTGTGCAGTATCGGCCGATACCGATACCATCTGTGTGAAACTGATGTGTGCATATATGAAGAACTGCATACTACTTGGATGTAAAATAATCGCCATCATAGTTTGTCAAGCTGCTGCCTACCTTTATGAAGCAGGAAATAGACTGATACAAAGTGAATCCAGTAGAACTTTTTATTGCCTACCTGGAATGGGTGACAATAGTTGAAGAAACTTTTGGCTCTCTAAATCGGTGCAACACTAGTGTCAACATCAATATACTTGATTAAATGTATAATTTGTTTTTATGCCTTGTCAACATGAATTTGAACTCATAAAAACCTGAACTGTATTCGTATAGTTCAGATTCATACTTGTAAATGGCTGATTTGTTCTTTTAAATTTGTAATTCTAACTCGTAAATTTGTGGTTCTTTATAATTTGTGCATAAAACAGTGATTTTTCATCGTTAATTTGTAACCAATACTTGTGATTACTACTCAAATTTGTAATTCATTCTTATCCAGTTTTTGATTCATACCCATAACTGCCTAATTTGATGTTTCAAAGCTATAACTATTTCTAACTTCTAAACTTGCATTCTCACAGATGAAGCGTCTGATTAGGAGATGGAAACAAGAAACAAATACAAATCTTAAAATTTACAGGATTAACTTTACTAATTCAGACATCTACGCTTGTGTTTTTATTCACTTATCCTACCCCATCCACTCACCCTGAAAACAGCAGCCCCAGGGGAAAACCTGGTGGTGGCAGCATCATGCTGTATGCTGGCTTTACCTCAGCAGACCGATTGGATGAAAACAGCTTTAGATGGAAAAAAGTCACAAACATTATGCAACAAAACCTTTCAGAGGTTGCTTAGAATGTGGATGGAAGGGTTACCGTGGATACAGAGCGATGCCCTTTTTCCCCACGTTGAGTTATGATACAGCCTTTTTAAAAAATGCTATAAAAATCTCTTTCCCCAAAATTCTAAATGCAAAGTTCAGTATTATGCAGAGATGGGAAGTAACGAAGTACAAATACTTCGTTACTGTACTCAAGTAGATTTTTCTGATATTTTTACTTTACTTTATTACTTATTTTTATGGCGACTTTTTACTTCTACTCCTTACATTTTTACACAAATATCTGTACTTTCTACTACTTACATTTTAAAAAATTGGCTCGTTACTTTAGTTTTGAATCATTTCAATGGAGTTACCGTTATTATTTTTCACGTCATCAATACCAAATTCAATCCAATTGGATGGGAATCTACGTTGCATTTGACGCATCACTACAAGATGAATCGACAGATTCGGTGGTATTCATTCGTGGCAAATCATTGCAGCTTGGTGGCGGTGGCGTTAGCATAGTAGCATGGACGACGAGATGATTGAAAATGAACACAACGGAGATCTAGTCCTATTGGCAGACATCCATTTAAAATGTAGGCAACGGCATGAAAAAAGTGGTTTCTACTTTTACTTTTATACTTTAAGTAAATTTACAAGCCTGTACTTTGTTACTTTTACTTGAGTAAAGAAGTTTAATCAGTACTTCCACTTTTACCAGAGTATTTTTTTAACACAAGTATCTGTACTTTTACTCAGTACGGAAAGTGAGTACTTTTGCCATCTCTGATAATTATGTCAATGTTAAATAATCCAAAACATTAAAAGTAGAAAACTAAAACAATTCATCTGATTAGTTGTTAAACAGTATTAACTCCATATTAAAGAAATTAATTCACATTTTGGTTTGATTTAAATTAAATATTTATATATGTGTACATTTCCTTCAACAATTGCACCCTTTTAACTCTTCCTGGTCAAAACAATAAAACTGAACAAACCCATTAAAGGCTGTAGTTTCTGTAGTTTCAGCCTAACATAAAAAAAGCTGAAGGGATATAAACATTTTTTATCCCATATGCCGAGTTTGATAAACAACCTAATAACAGCCCAAAGCAGTGGTTCAAGTTGATGAGTGGTTCCTAACTCTTAACGTCTGTGTTTAACCCCCAATGTGGCAAGAGTTACCATTTTTGATCTCTTGCCTACCCCTTACAAATGGAGTCCCCCCCCTCCCTGTCCCTCAGTGAGGTCTAGAAGCACAAGATCTATATCCAGCCATTCAGCAAAGATGCTGCTACATGGCTGTACATCTTATTTTGGCATTTAATTAGATGAGCACTTAAATTATATATTACCTACTGTAAATTAAGTTGGGGAAAAAAAACATGAAAAAAAGCTAATTGAAATGTTAAAAAGTAAGGTTAAAAAGTCAATAAGCATAGTTAACAATTATATTTAGGTTTATAAACTAAACAATGTCAGTACCAATATCAGCATTAATCCCTCTAAGGTCATGTTGGAGCAAAAAAAAAAGCATTACTTTCACTCTCAGAGTTTTTCATGAATGGTTTTTAGAAGCACTTTTGTTATTTTTCTTAATATATGTGGGTACGTTGGCGTTTCTTGTTATTATATGGACATTAATTTTTGCCTTCAACATGTACATCTTTTTTTAATGTTCCAAAGGTAATAAGGTCTTGTCCTAGATTCCAGTAACACCATTGGCTTGAAATTTTGATTTTCAAAGTATTTCACTCAGTTTTGATCCCTTGCATACTCCTTACAAATGGAGTCCCCTCCGTCCCTCAGTGAGGTCTAGAAGCACAAGATCTATATCCAGCCATTCAGCAAAGATGCATGTTTACATGTATATTTTATGTAAAATAAAAATCTTACTTTGGCATTTGCCCAATGAGATGAACCCTTGAATGATATATTACCTACCGTAAATTAAGGGGGGAAAAAGTAAACAAGTCAAGTAAAAAAGATAAAAAGGTAATTGGAAAGTTAAAAAGTTAATAAGCCTAGTTAACAATTATATTTAAGTTTATAAACTATAACACATGCCAGTATCAGTATTAATGCCTCCAAGGTTATGTTGGACCAACAAAAATGTGTTTCTTTCACTCTGAGTGTTTTTCATGAATTTCTTTTAGAAGCACTTTAGTAATTTTACTTAATATATTTGGGCAAGTTGCTGTTTCTTATTATTACATTGACATTAATTTTTGCCTTCAAAATATCCATATTTTTTATGTTCCAAAGGTATTAAGGTCTTGTCCTGGATTCCAATAACACTATTGGCTTGAAATTTTAATTTTCAAACATGAACAGCATTTAATCCGTCTGATGTAGTCACTCAGTATTTATTGCTGGAAATTAAATAACTCCACTGGATTCTGTTTCCAATCCCTGCAGGGAAACGGCTGGCACTCTGCAGCAGCACTTCATTCAGCCAGTTTATGTGCACAAAGCAGAAACAATTCAAAACAATAGAGAAAAACAAATTTAAGCCTGACATTATACACCTTTAGCCCTAATGCTTAGTGGATGGACTAAAGTTAGGTCTCTCAGGGAATCGGGATGAGTATTTTTTCTTTTTCCCTGGATCTCTTCCCCGTCCTGATTAGTTTTTAAGAAGCATAAAGTTGTCTTCATAGAACATGATGCTGCAATGCTTGTACCAAGATGCAGGTAAGCCTGCAACCTCTGCAGACGAGCGTTGGCATGAAAGTTAATCATCTTCTGATAAAGTTAAACACCAGAAACGGATAAGTGCATAGGCTTCTTGATTCCAGCGGATGGCGCAGGAGGTGGCATGGCTGTCTCTGAGGCATAACCAAACAAGTCATCACAGTCCTTTTAGTCTTGACTCATGAGGAAGTAAGGGGAAACAAGGCTAAATCAGCCGAAGTCAAGCTAGGAGGAACTATAAGGCGATGCGTTATCTCTGTCACTGTTCTGCATCTGTAGTTTGAAGTAGTTTGATGGATCCAAACAAGCTGCTCACTAAAGAAAAATACAATCATTAGCTGGATTTCAACAGAACAGCCAGGCTATTTGGTTTGCTCCCAGAAAACAAAACCAAAAAAACATGTGCATACTTTTTGTTCTAAAACAAAACCTTTTGAAAATAACAAACAAATAAATGCAAAAGCAGGGTTCAGGAAATGGGAGCAGAGTTCATTACTGGGACATTTTGGCAGGTAGAGGCAGCATACGAGTTCCCTTTGGACAGAATAACATCCCTACTGACAGCAGTAGTGCATAAGAGGACTCTCTTGATAGGAAGACTAAACAGAAATTATTACAGACAGTTGAACCCTTGCTAATGTAAAAGCTAATGGTACAAAGTAGAATAAACAACCTAAAATTCATCTGAAACAGTTTTTGAAGGTTCTCAGTGTCTTCAGGCCTATGGAGTGAATTCTGTTCCGTTATTCTTGGAAACAAAGAACAAGTTTTGTACATGGAAATGTGTCAGAAAAAAATGCAATCCACAAATGTTAAAAAAATATACAAAAAAAAAAAAAAAAAAGGTAAAAGATATTTCCTTATAATTGATAAAAAAAAAAATGATCAAAAAATTTCTGTTATTTTTTACATTTTAACATTTTTTTTAGATTTTTAATATATACATTTATAAATTTTATAAATTTTTTATATTACTCTTTTTCAGATTGAGTTTTACGACCTGCATTCTTCTTTAGATCATATTCTCTTCAGTTCTAAAGGGGCGCACTTTCCTCTGTAGGAGCGGAGACATTTCTATTCGTACGCGTAGACGTTAGCAACAACGCTATCTGTCAATGAATGTAATGGGCTTGAAGTAAAAGTAATGTGACCTGTGAAAGGCAAGTGGATAAAAAAATGTTATTCATAAAACTCAATCCGAAAAAAAAAAAAAAAAAAAATGAAAATATAAAATCTATAGAAACATTTTTTGAAAAAAAATTGTGTGTACAAACAGAATTTGATAAAACTTCATTCAAAACATTAATACACATTTTTTGACTTTAATTTCCTGATTCACTAAACATTTTATCTGTTTGCAACAATAATGGAACAAAATTCACTCCATACATGTCTCCCTTGTAAAACATGTTCAGGTTACAAACTGATATTCAATCCATATTCTACTCTACATTATCAACATGTGAACTGAAACAGATTTCTATTCAATTCATGGCTAAATAAGTTAAAAGGGAGTTAAAGATTTTTGCATACATTGCAAACGAATATTAAAAACTTTTATCAAGTATTTAGTATAAATGTAATCCATTTTCAAACCATCATGCTGTAACATTAGTGTTAAAATAGTAGTCTAATGATGATGGTCTCCCTTTAGTTCAAACAGGAAGGAGTGCAGAAGTGGCTCCTCTCATCGCACAATGAAAACACACTACTGGACTTGTGCAAATCATACAAACAGCACTCCGCTCCTCATCTTTGGTTCTGCCCATTCGCCGTAGGAAATGTACGGATCGCAGCAGGGAAGAGTTTTCTGTTCGACCCTCAGCGTCGGTGAGGTAAAGGAAGACGGCCCGCATCAGTCCCATCCGTCCGTAACCGGGGTGATAAAAGCACTTAAGATTCCCGATTGTGGTAAAAAATAAATTGATTAAAGGTAACATGCTAAATATTATAAAGCCATCAACCAGTACACCTCTGTTCACATGTAAACACACATGCAGTCTATAGAATGCTAGAAGGAAGGCTGTTAGCCCCGCTGTTCACAGTGCTGGGGAGGAAGCAGGTTAGCCTAACTGTTTGCAAGTGCATCTTTAACATGGAGGTGATGACGGTAGGCTGAGATGGACCAGAAGCGACGCCGTGGGGGGGTCAGACATGTGGATCCGCTGCAGGAGTAGAGCCATTAGCTTTACTCTTGTTTTTATAGCTCTTACTCTTGCGGATGAGCATGCGGCTGAGCGTGGCGGTCCTGCTGGCCCGCTCCACCGACGCAGGAGACTCCAGGTACACCAGGTCGTTGTGCGACTGGCTCATCCCCGGCTCCTTGCGCTGGTGGCGCCGCCGGAAAAAGAGCTTGGCACTCTTCTGAAGTAAGCTCCCTGCAGCAGAAAGTGTGGGGGGGGGACACAATCAGCACGGCTTTAAGCAAGATTCTAGAAAAAAATGTCTTAAATTAAGTGTATTTATTCTTAATTTGAGTAGGTAAATGAGACAGTTTGCCAATGGAATGAGTATTTTTACTCTTAAAATAAGATATTTAGATAAAATGCACTTAAATAAGACAAGGCATTTGTTTTTTCTTATATTAAATGTAAATTGTCTTGTTCCATTGGCAAACTTTCTCTTTTACCTCTTCAATTCAAGAACAAATGCACTTATTTTAAGAAAGAAATTACCTATCTAGATTTTGATTTTTTCCAATGTGAAGGACATTACTGAGAAAAACAAATGAAACTATCTGGAAAATCTAATCATTCTTAGAGTTCCTGGGAGGGAAAGACAAAGAAGCAGAATGGGAAGTTAGAAATAGTACAGGAGGCCAGAAATGATTCTATATTAACTGAATTTAAAGTGTTGGATGATCACAAACAGTCTGACATTTCTCCTTTGTTTCTGCCTGGATACAAACAAATTTCTGGGTTTATACAGGAATGAATAACTCTAACTTAATGCTTTTTAATGTTCTTTTAATGTTTTTAGAAATTATTTTAATGCCACCAACAGGCACCCGTTGACAGGCTGCAGCCATGTCCCGAATCCTTCGTTTTCCAGCTTTTTTTGTTGAAATTTGCTTTTTTCCCTCCAATTCTCTAGCTTTTTCTCCGACTAAAGCTTCTTTTCTGAACATACAGCTTTGAGATCAACCGGAAGCAGTTCCAAGCAAATATATCATGATATAATATGTCTGAAGAAATTGTTTTTATAAACATTTTTTTAATAAAGCATTTTAAATGCCACAATTAACACATTTAATGAATTTTAACGCCAATTAAGGCCTTAATTTAAAAAATAATAATTTAATGACTTTTAATGATTTTTAATGACCCGCAGAAACCCTGAATTTACACTTAATCACTAAAACCAATGAATTATAGAAGAACACTGCAAAAAGTGAAAAATAAGTCATTTTTCTTCAAAAAGGGAGTTATACCTTGATATAAGCAGCTAAATAAAGCAATTTTCCAACAGACTAAGATGATTCATGTTCAAAATAAGAAAAAAATAACTTATTTTAATTCAAGTGCATAATATCTTATTTTTAGGGCGAGGATAATCATTCTATCAGTAGCTCATCCTATTTACCTGCCCAATTTAAAGGCAAATGTTATTTTAATTATTTATTTTCAGATCAGTTTTAGCAGTGAAAAATAAAATCAGTATGAACATCATACTGTAAAGTCACTGAGGCTGATTAGCAGAAACTGCAATGCAAATATTCAAATATAAGTAAATCATTTTTTCTAAAGATAATTTATGTATAAAATAAGATAAAAAGAACAGTCTTATTATTTAAAGTGTATATCCAATGATTTTAAGGGAAAATAATCCTTCCATTGGTAGACTGTTTGTCGCTGCAAAAACAATCTAGAAATAAGTCAAAATGTCTGAAATTAAGTGTATTTATCCTTAATTTGAGAAGGTAAATAAGATGATTTGCAAATGGAATGAGGAGTTTTACTCTTAAAATAAGGTAATTACATAATATACACTTGAAATAAGACTATGAAATCGTTTTTTTCTTATTTTAAATGTAAATTGTCTTTTTCCATTGGCAAAATGATTTGTATTTGCTCAAATTAAGGACAAATTCACTCATTTAAACAAAATTTGATTTATTTGTAGATAAGCTTTTGCAGTGCGCCATAGATTTTGGTGCAGCTCCACATGATTCATGAAACCGCGTGGACGGCGGCCGGCCCCCAGGCGCTCCAATGGTCAGCGGTTAATAAATATTTATTCATAGCTACCTCCCCCGCAGAAATCGTGAAAAACAGAGACACAAGTAAATGATGCGATGGCTCCTGATGCATGTTCTGGGTTTTATTTTGCCATTTCCTCTAATCATCCTCTGATGTTTATTGTTCTTCACTGATCTGAGGCCAGTTGGATCAAAGCGAATCGTTTTCTTCGATCCAAACAGATGCATCCAAAGCTGGTGTCAAAATGACAGCACATTTTGTTTTGCTTTGTGTTCAGTTGATAAATGAGGACCAGGCTTTTCCTTCTGTTTCAGTCAGATCTGTCGGTGGAGGACCCAGCTCTATTTATTATGATTAGGCTGAAAACACAACACTACACAGCTCCATCATCTTCCTAGACTCTAATAACACTAGCAGGACTACACACTACAGTGTCAATAACTCTCATGTAGTAACTTACTCATCGAGGCATAAAGTCTGCTTAGCACTGCTCTCCTCTAAGATGGCAGTGATGAAAAGTTCAAAAAGGTTCAAACAGCAGACGGAAAGGAGAGAAAAGCACAAAGGAAACAGACTGCATCACTGGGTAACAACATACGGCAATAAAAACAGGCAACAATCATTAACATCAACAGATATTTACAGAGTCTGACCATAAAAAGTGAAGTAATCTGTTATTATTATTGTGGGTTATTTTCAACCAATCACAGACGGGCTCCATCATCTGATGACAGATTAGCGGTCTGTGGTTCCTGCAGCACAATGACTAAAGAGAAACGAGCAGCGCAGGGGTTTAAAACAGTCTCTAAAGGAAACTAGGCCTGCCTGACATGAATGTCACTATAACTGAGGACATTTTTCTAAAACAATTTGATATGGAAAGGAATCAGCTGGCGATTATTTCACCTTAAAAATAAAATAAAATTATAACTTCATGTTTACCTATTGAGGCGCAGAGTATATAAATATGCTGGTGAAGATTCTCAGTCATCCAGGTCATAGTCATTTCAAAAAGTGGATTTTGTTTCTAAGTTTGAAGCCGTTTCGCTTGTTCCGCCGTCCATTTTATAAAACCTCGAACTTAAAGCTACAGTGTGTAATAATTACAGGGATATACAGTCAGAAATGTAATATATTATACATAACTATGTTATTTTATCATCATCTACGAGCTCAGCCTCTTAACCTTAATATTTGCGTTGCCTTAGAATTCGTTATTTATAATTACATAGGAGCGGGTCTCGCAGCCATGGAGGCTGACATCTTTGCGCTACGGCAGCGCAGAGCCAACAAACTAGCGATTGCGAGATCGCCAAAACGTCACAACGATGTAGAAAAAATAACGGGTATATTTATTATCTAAAGTCTACATGAAATCTATACCCTACACAGACTAATGAAATACTATCTGTAAAATTATCTATGTAAACAAACCTCATCACTTGAGAAGGTAGGTGATGCGGACGTCGTGGAAGACATTTTGTCCCGTAACGCTCGCCGTACTGTTGGGGGGGAGAAGCGGTGGGGGGGAGATGTTCATGTTGCTGCAGTCTGCAGTCTGACCGCTAGATGTCGCTAAAAGTTACACACTGTAGCTTTAACTCTATTTGTGATATTTTGAATTGGAAAAAGCTTCCAGGATGGGAAGCGAAAAAAACTTGGAAATATATATATATATATATTTTTTTTGCAATGCTTGTGGTCATGTGGATTATGAGTAATAATTGTATGAATGAAAATGTGTGTGAATGTCTTTATGCATGTTAATATGTATAAATTCTTTTATTTGCTCACTTAATGGTCATTTCAGGCAGCAAGGACTTCAGTAAGACTTTGAGAAGAAGAACAGTTTGATTAAATAAATTTTACTTCTTCATTACCCTTTAAAGACATGATCTTCATTGAACGGTAATGAACACTTTCTCACCTCTGCTTTTCTTACAGCTGGCCTCAGATACACACATGGACAGGGATGTGTTGTCCAGCGCTTCCTCAGCTTGACTCTCCCAGTCTTCTGGAGGTTGGCCAACTTCGGCAGGACCTTTGTGGGGCTCGGACCCCTCAGGAGGACTGCTGCTGGCACCCGATGCGACGGCCGCGTTCATGTCCTGAGTGGAGCTGCTCTCGGACATCGAGGCATCCATCTGTGCTGCGTAACCCGCCATCAAAGAAAGTTCGTCATCCTGAGACAGGGGCGTCTGAGGGAAGAGGCAGATTTCCATTTCAAACACCGTATCTAAGCAACATTTCTAGCCAGAAGTCACCCGGTCACATGTGGGTTCAGCCGGAAGCAAAAGCCAAACAGTTTATCATCTAGAGGATTGTTTCTTTTTTCCAACTGACAGAAAAAAACTTAATTAACTCGTCACCAGGGGATGGAGGGGTGCATTCGGCCCCCATGACTCATCCTTACTTTGGCGATGCCTGAGATGATGATGGTGCTCTTCTTCACTGGCGATTTGAGCTTCTGCTTGGCCGACTGGTGGAGCTGTCGGATCGCCGCTTCAGCCACGGGGTCTGTTCCATTGAGCATGAGCAGCTCGGTGTCAGAGGACGATAAGGCCTTGCTCACTGTGCCCCCCAGTATGGACGCCTGCTCTGAAACTCTGCGCTCAACTAGCTTGGCCTTGCTGTCGACCGTCTTCAGGGTCGGCTCTGAGGAGACAAAAGACAGGCTGTTGTTCTTCCCGAATAGGTTATTAGAAGACTCTAAAATGATCCAATGATCAAGATGCAGATATTTAAACCTGTCAAAGAGCAGAAAATCTATAAACTAAATCCAGACCAACTAAGTGTTGATGGTCACACTGGTGGGATGATGGGAGGGATGGATTAATGGGGCTTAGGTTTACTCTGTTTCCTTTGACCTTTTTAACAGCAGTGTAGCTGCCATCAGAGTCAGCTCATTTAAATATTCTAATATTTAGTTAAAAACAAGTTAATACATACTAGTATTGAAATTAAAAGTTCAATCATAAATAGATAAATAAATAACCTTTAGTAAATTTATGTTTATGTAGGTTGGTTAAAAAGTTCATTAAAATGTAAGGAGGAACCTATGTTTTTGTTCCGCATTTCACATTGTTGCCAATGGGAAAGACTGATTGACACAATTCTTTTTTTTGCACGTTTTTTCAAGAAGTTTCACCAGAAAGCTATAAGACTGGTTTTCTGAGAAAAGCTGTATAAGTTATCTTTATTCCTCTGGAGTTTATGCGGCCAATAAGTACTGACTGTTACTCCTCTCGAGATAATCAAGGCATTTTTTGGGGCTTTATAAGACTTGTCCACAATAAATGGCTGTTAAAACCAAAAGAACAACGTTGAGGCTTGATTATCTCGAGAGGAGTAACAAGCAGCGAATAAAAAGCCGCAGAGTTGAGTTTCTTCCAGACAAGTGAAAGAAACAGGAAGAAAGTTGTTTTTTTTCCTTCCCCATTTCTTCCTGAACAAACTGGAAGAAAGTCCTGGTAATTGATCATATTTAGAGAACTGTGATAGTCCCATTGAAAAATAAACTCACTAGAACTCTTGTTGCGGCGATGCCATTTTTTGGCCCCAATACCTGGCTGTGCAGTATCTGCTGATACCGATACCATCTATTTGAAATTGATGTGTGTGTGTAAATATGAAGAACCGCACACTACTTGGATGTAAAATAATTGCCATCATGGCTTTGTCAAGCTGCTGCCTACCTTTGTGAAGCAGGAAAAAGACTAATACAAAGTGAATCCAGTAGAACTTTTTATTGCCTACCTGGAATGGGTGACAATAGTTGAATAAACTTTTGGCTCTCAAAATGGTATGAGTGCCCTATTTGTTGGTACTCGCCGATACCGAAACCACCATTTTAGTGCTGGATCTGGGTCCTGCCAGATACTGGTATCGGTGCAACACTAACTATAACCACCAGGCTACATAAGGAGAAGTCCACCAGGGAAACACTCTTTGGGAAAATTCCCCAAGAAAAAAAACCCAGCAGGGAATTACATATTTAATACAGAAGTGATCATTTACCAACAGCCTTTAAATGGTAGGAAAAATTAAATAATTTATTTATACTCAGATTACACCGGTTACTCAGCGCTGTAAGATGGATTGTTTTCGAGATCTGAGTTTTGAGTATCACAACAAATCCATCTTGAAAGACTCCTGCTAAAATGTCAGTCTTGTGACAACCAGCGAGTTGGACCAATGACAGCAGTGTTTTTTTGGGGCAGGACCTGTAGGAATGACGACAGTCAGAAGGGGCTTGCAGGGGCATAAAAAACACGGCTACGCTGGAGGACTCACCTGCCGATACCGCAATTGACTCTGTTTTAGCTAAAATAGAACAAAGAGAAGCACTTGTAGATGTGCATTTGTAGAAAGATGTCTGCTTATCTCCCAACAGGATTTGGAAAAAGTGTGATTTATCAGCTTACTCCACCAGTTGTGAAAGCTTAACGATTCGCTGCTACGATTTGCTGAAAGTGTATAAAGCAGGGCATACACTGTGCTATTTTTGCCCTTTTTGGGACGATTTTCCAGTCGTGTGAGAATTTTTAGATAGGGCCGAGTTCTGATCGTGCGTTGTGTAGTATACGGGGGGTAACGAGGGGCGATCAGCTTCTCACGACCACCTCCCGATCGGGAGAATAATCAAACATGCTTGAAATTCAGTCAGCCACCGTAAGGTCGCATCAGAGTGTCGGGCCGCACAGTGTGAGGACATACACCATGACCTGTTGACTTTTAATCCCTGTGGTTTGGTGGTACATTTTGAGCTGTAGCTGCATGCAAAGATTAAAAACATCGCACAGTTTTACACTTTAGTTGAAATTTGCATTGTCTAGCTTTTTCTCCCCCTCAAGCTTTTTTTCCAAACATACAGATTTACGATCATCTGGAAGCAGTTTCGCGCAAACACGCTGAACCAGTTATATTTGATATAAAATATCTTTTAACGTATTTTTTCAGGGTTCCTAAAGCATAAGGCAAGTTAAATTCAAGACTTTTTAAGACTTTTTAATGCCACTTGAAATTAAAATTTAAGACCAAATTCACAAGAAACACAAGAAAAACCCTCTTGTAACAACTTAACCCAAAGGTTTATTTTAACATAAACCACTGCACTAATGTTTCAGATTTTGAAAAGCTTTCCATACAGGAAGAAAGTTAAAAACACAAAATGACAGATATATTTTAACAATTATTTAACTGAATTCACAAACTTTGTTTTAGCAGGGAACAAAACAAATCAGTTTTAAAGCCACAACATAACCAGTGCTAAGTCACTGTGCCTCATGTATGTTCCCTGGTACTGGTTTTAGCCATGGAGAAAACTCTTGGTTGGATAGCCAATTTTCGTAACATTTACACTTGCTCGTATTTTCCAGACAAAAGGTTAATGGTGCATCTCCCAAATGTCCGCTATCGGGACGGAACCAATAATGGCGAGCCGTTTTTTTTAAAGAATAATAATTAAAAAAAAATTGTCAACTTTAACGTTTTATTTAGATTACAAAAATAAATCGTAATAAAAATAATCTAATTTATGATGTTTTAAAAAAAATAAGACATACGAAAGACTGATTTAAGACATTTTAATACCAATTAAGGCCTTAGTTTTAGTTTTTAGAATTCAATGCCTTTTAAGACTTTTTAAGGACCCGCGGGAACCCTGATTTTAAAGCATTTTAAATGCCACAATAATCACATTTAATGAACTTTAATGCCAATTAAGGCCTTAATTTAAAAAAATAATGATTTAATAACTTAATGATTTTTAATGACCCACAGACACCCTGTTACAGACATTGAACCCCACCTCAAGGTTATTACTGGATTTGGGCCTGCTTAAGGCAAAATATTCACCAAAAGAAACAAAACTTTCCAGTAAATTTGACCTTCCAAGTTCCTTCCAGCCTAAAAAAAAAAAACATGGAAAAATCCTGGAAAAAAACACCAAGAAACTTCCAACCCTGAAAAGCTGTTTTGTTTGCAGCGTTTACCAGTGCTGTTGAGAGGCAGAGGTCGCCCTGGCTTGCTCTTCACAGCCGTGATGGTGGTGACCACGGTGCCACAAGGCATGACGGTACGGTCCATCTCCACCCTCTTACTGGCAGCTGGGGTTGGAGGTTGCCAGGACCGCACCTCGCTGGGCTCTAGATAGGTAAACTGGAAGGTTAAAGTCAGGTTAGTGTTTTTGTTCATTGAAGAAGAAACCACACTCATCAGCTGAAAAGGTCGGGTGGACCAACCTCAGTAGTCAGTGATCCAGTCACTGTGTCTTTGGTCTTTAGTGCAAACGTCTGCTGTCCTTTGGGGTGCTTCTTCACAAGATCAAAAGGCAAACACACCTGACCTAGTAAAGAGTCTGAACCAGCAAAAGAGCCACATTATGGTCCCCGCTGCAGCACATCCATGGACAGACAGTATCGCCGAGAGATGCCTTACCTTCTGGAGGAAGACCGTCATTCAACACCTGAACACAGAGCTCTTTTGATCGTCCATTCAACTCACTGGAGGTAAATAAAAAATACATAAATAAACCCAAATACATATCCCGCTGTACACATATAGTTTACATCTTTATAAAAGTGATAAGTTAAGTCGGGGAAACGGTGTCAAACCTACAAGACAAACGGCTGATCCCAGGTAGGATTGGTTGTGTTCTTCATAACAGATGTGCTAAACCTCTGCGGAGGATCATCCAGCTGCAGAACACTAAGAGGATTGATGCTGCCTGCAGACACAGAGGAGATCAGATCAGCCACTGACAATTATTTAAAAGTCAGGAAAAAGGATGGTAGGCATATTAATAAAGTAAGAAAGTAATGTTTATTGATATAGCACCTTTCATAGACATAGAGGTAACAAAGTACTTCACAAAATTAAAATTAGGGCTGGGTATTTTCGCCAAAGTCCAGCATCAATTCAACTATGATTATTCAGTTCTAAATCAATTAATTTTGATTCGATCTGTTTTTACAATAATGAAAGTGGTTCAACTGTGTTTCAAAATACTCATGTATTTTATGTTTTCCTGTCACATTAAGCACAAAGTGCAAACTTGTAAATCGGACAGTTTAAGCTTCAGATATGAACAAAACTCACAAAACTGCGTCTCATAAGTGCAAACTTGTTTGTGAAAAGTGAAAAAGTGAAGCCTCACTCGAGCGAGCAGACATGACACAGCAGACATGCATGGGCTGCATTATCTCCACTGCACAAACCATATGTGCAGCGTTGTCTGCAACAACTACAGGGTGTTTGCTGGTCAGCCCCCATTTGTTAATGTCTTCAGTCAACCTATTGGCTATATTTTCAGCTGTCTGTCTTGAAGTTATCTTGAGTGCATCTTTCCTGCTCACATAAAATATATTTACAGTCACAAAAGACGTGGTCATAAAACATCCCTCAATCTACTGGAATTAAAATTCTTTCTTAAACAAATAGGTTTTCAGTTCACTCTTAAAAAACAAACAGAATCAAATTAGCGCATGGAAAGAGGCAGGTCGTTCCAGAGCGCCGGCGCGACCGCATGAAAGTAGCAATCTCCACAGGTCCTGCAAAGAGTACGAGGGACCATGAGCAGGTTCAGGTCCTGAGACCATAAAGCAGCTAGATTAACCCATTTAGGCCGGGAAAGCATTACCGCATTTCTACCATTCAAGCCGGGGGCGCTGTTGCGTAATTCTACCATTGACGCCGGGAGAGCGTATAAGTCAGTTTCCGTGTATACAGGTTTTTGCACCACCTGTCGGGCTCTAGGCCAATGAAATGCATCAGAATAGAGGCAAAGGAGTGACGTAATTACCCTCGTGTCATTGTTTGGGAAGTTTTTTTTAAGCGAACATGGAGGAGTTTGACAGAGAAGAGTTGTCGGAAGGCAGTGATTTTGAGGAGTGTGTCGGCTTTGATGACGGTATAGATGAAAATGATGACTTTGAACGCGCTGAACCAATCGTGGTTAAGACATATGTTCGAAGACGACGAGTCGGACGCTAGCGACGATGAGTTTGAAGGTTTTGATAGTGACTGGAAGACGGAGAACTACCACCGCAATGCACGGAGTGTTTTCAACCGCACACCGGGAGTGAAAGTTGATTTGCCTGCAGACGCCACACTGCTGCAGGCATTTGAGCATATTTTTAATGAAGAACTTTGGATGCATCTTGTTACCGAGACGAATAGGTACAGTGACCAAACAAACCAAACTCCAACAAGAGCAAAGATGGCAAAGTGGTCACCCGTGACTGTGACGGAGATGAAGACATTTATTGGGCTGTGTATGGGCATGGGACTGTTGCCAGTACGAAGAGATTATTGGCGACAGAGTAAACCTCTCTTCAGGACGCAGTTCCCCCAAAATATGTCCCGGGACAGATTTGTGGCCATCTGGAGGTAAGTTGTATTGCAATTTATAACACAGACATATGCATTATTATGCATAATAATACTGTTAATAAGTAATCATCAGATAGTTATTTATGTAATGTTTGTTCTTTATTTTAAAAACGTTTTATAAACGTTTTATAGTCAATGAAGACATGATCACATATGGAAAAAATAAAAGGTTGAATTTTTCTTTTTTCTTTTTGATTACTGCTTTTCACTTTTTTTTGGAAGAATTTCAAAGATAAAATATATTTTGAGTTACCTTAGACTTTTTGTTCATCACATAATTACATGTGTCTTCAGTCATAATCTACAATGTGAATAGTGTTGAAAATAAAAAAAATAAACAACTGTATGCCAAATGTGTTACAAAAGCTTGACAATATTTTATGTGATGCTTTCACATAAAACTAAAACATAACTTATGTGTGCATTTTCAGGTATTTACACCTTCAGAATAACCACGCAGCAGATGTCAACAAGGATGACAAGCTATGGAAAATGCGCTGGTTTCTGAATTACCTCCTTGACCGATTCCAGGCACTGTATGAGGTAGATGGCAACGTGTCTGTAGATGAGAGCATGATCAAATTCAAAGGGCGCCTCTCCTTCAGGCAGTACCTCCCAATGAAGCCGACAAAGTGGGGTGTCAAGGTATGGGTAATGGCAGAGAGCTCCACAGGATATGTGACCAACTTCCAGGTGTATGCTGGTCGTGAAGGCTCTATAGAGAAGGGTCTCGCACACCGTGTGGTGATGGAATTAGCCAGACCATATTATGGGTCTTATCTGTCCATCTATATGGACAATTTTTACACGGGGGTAACTCTGTTAGAGGAGATGAAGACCCATGGGTTGAACGCTTGCGGCACTGTTCGTGCCAACCGGACTGGACTCCCAAAGAATGAGAGGCTTAGAAAAAAACACCTCAATGGAAAAGCACTAGTTCAGGGTAGCTCAGAAGGACGACCTTACGTTCTGTATTTGGCAAGACACAAAAAAGGAGGAGCCAACCACGTCCCGGTGGAAGTGCCAGATTCCCTCGCAGACTACCAGAAGCACATGAAAGGTTTGTTTTGTTGGTCTTTGGAGTGCAAATGTCTGAGTTTCATGTGTGTCAACTGAGTGTTCTGTGTGTTCCAGGCGTCGATCTGCTTGATCAAATGATTGGCTATTATGGATTCCAGCATCGATCAAAGAAGTGGTGGAGGAGGGTGTTTTTCTTTTTCTTGGCTATGTCCTGCCACAATGCCTACATTGCTGCAAGGTCTGTTGGAGGAACAGCCTTCAGACACAAGTACAGAGGCTACAAACCCTGGCTGGAGGACCTGGCCGAGCAGCTCATCACACCGCACAGGACCAGGGCTGTTAATGTGACTCCTCCATCTTCTCTTCCTGCCTCACCATCTCCTACTCTTCCTCCCTCTCCAGCTCCATCTGCAGGTAGCAGAGTAGACACACCTCCTCCACAAATGACTTTGGAAAAGTCTATGACAAGCGCAAACAGTGTAGGGAGTGTTTGCTTGTCTTGGACACTGAAAAAGTAGGTGGGCCAACTGTGTATGTTTGTAAACAGTGCAGCCTGCCACTGCACATTGAGTGCTTCGGCAAGCACTATCGTCGTTACATGTGAAGCAGACTGTTTAAGTCATCAGTATGTTCTGTTCTTGTTCTTAACAGTTCATCAAGTCACTGACACAAGTTGATATTACTTATTATTTTTTTCTTACTATTTTTGATTGAAAATATTAATGTTCACTTTACTTTTACATTGTTTATTTTTGTGAAGGAGTATCTAAATAAACTCAATTTCCCAGGAAAGCCACAGGTGTAAGCTTTCAAATACTTTTTGAATTTTGTTTCTATCTGCTACAGAAGCTGAGATATCAATAATTTACTAGGCGTTGACACAGTTGCTGAATTTACAGAAAAACGTCAGGTTTTAGGGGTATATTTTAAAATCGGCCATAGGTTTTTAAGGTGTTTTTTCCAGGCGTTTTAGGCCTAAATGGGTTAAAAGAGATTTCAGCATCAGAGCAATCGACTTCTATAGGGGAAATGAAAGGCATTAACAATGAGGCCTCCAGCGTGGTTTTCCTGTTCGGGAAGAAAATTCCTCTTAGATTAGGCCAACAGCATGAACCAAAAATCTCCTTCTTCAGCCCTCCTCTGGATGAGCCGTTTCCGTTTTCCACGCCCCACCGTCCTCCTGAATGCCGCACCTCCTGAAACCATGACAACCACTCAGTTCGTAAAGATAGCCTAGGAGCTTGGAATAATACAAAGCTGTAGCTTTACCAATAAGCTGCTTCAGATCTCTTTGGACAGCTTATTTCCCTTGATGACATCATCAGGGGAAACAGAGCATCTTAAGCACACATTAGATAAAAGATGGAGAGAGGCAATGATGGAGGTGAAAGGATTGTGTTCCTTGGTGATTCTCATACAAAATGTTTTTAAATTGAGTTTTCCATAGTTGGGCACCTTTAACGAGTCATGAGGGAGTGGTGGCCTAGTGGTTAGGGACTAGTGCTTATATTAGATTAAATTAGATGATTAGATGAGCTTTATTGATCTCACAGCAGAGAAATTCACTGGTCACATACTGGCATAGTACTTAAAGAAGGTGCAAACAAGGAGGAAAAAGTGCATTAGGAATAAAAATAAAAATAAGAAAAATACAAGGGAGTAACACAGAGATTTGAGGTGACAAATGTACAATCAGGATGGCTTATATAAAGGTGGATTGACTTTTACATTAAAGTGTAGTAGGTAAGGAACAATGGTGAGGTAGTGGTATGACTATTATCTCTATTATTGGACTCCTGAGGTTGTGAGTTTGAGGCCCACTCTCACAGACTGCCACTTTGGGTCTCTGAGCAAGACTCTTAACTCCATACTGCTCCCTGAACCCCTCACGATGGCCGCCCACTGCTCCCCAAGGGGATGGGTTAAATGCAGAGGTAAATTTCTCCAATGTGTGATCAATAAAGTTTTATCATTATTATTCCTCTAACAGCACAGAGAGGATGTTGTTTAGGTTTTCAAAGTGAATAACTGACAGTATTCTTTAACAAGCTCATAATTTTACTGTCGTCCTCATACCTGGGAGCGTCGCTCCCTCCTGATCACATCCTGCTCTTTTCGACATCACTGGGTGTGGCGCAGCTGATGTGGGTGTTACTTTACAGAGCAAACAATGTTTAGCTGAGGTTACAGAGCAGAAAACACACAGACTCCCTGCCCTGGACTCCTGCATGGGCAAAACTAAACTACGTTTAGGTCGATGTTCATGCAAACCCTCTCTAGTTAGGTAAAAAGCAAAGCATCCATTCAGGACATGTCTCTGCATCAGTCCGTCTGATTCTGCTAATTAGAGAGATCTAATTTGCCTCCTTCCTCCTGTTTCAGGAAACATTTCCTTCCTAAATGAATCAGAGCGCTGCACAACAGAGTGAGATTATCATCCTAACAGGCTGATAACATGAGCTGGAGCTAACCTGTTTTAATTTATAAAGAGGTATCATTTGTTGTTTTTCTGTCGAGTTTTATTTTATATATTCAATTTAAAAAATGTGTATGTAGAAGAAGCTTTACTGAACGGCTGAAGCTCTATGATAAACACGGAGCTTACGATGAGGTCACACCAAGTAGCTAAATACTACCTGTGGGACCAAGCTGGTTTTAAAACAGGTATTAAAGGAAGATATTACACCTGGTGATTCTCCTATAAAATTAGCACTCATCGTCGAACAAGGTCCATGCAGGAAGCTACACTATAGTTAGCTTGTGGTTATTAAAGAGGTACAGCCCCAGACCTTTTTCAAACATTACATTTATAACATTTTTATCCTGTGTTATTAGGTATTTTAATTTATTGAACTGCAGAAATTCAGCTCCAATTGTGTTAAAGGAAAAGTCCGGTCACATTCAGAATATAAACTTCTGAAAGTACTTTAAAGTCGTAGGGAAGTCATATTTAAATGTCAAATCATTCTGGCTTAAACATGTATATAAACAAACTCTTTATTATTGTCCCAAAATTTAGAAAATTTCTATTCGCTGTGAGCTTTTCGCAGGTATGATGCAGATATTTTTGATTTATGCCCAATATTGAAGCGTGGTCTGTGCTATGCTATTCCACGCCACAACGCAAGAGGGAGAATCAGGAACTAGCTGTGGGTCTAGATACGGCCGAGGCGGTGAGGAAATGGGGGCAAGTTTGTGTGACAACGGAGGGACAGGAGGGTGAAAAAGAGCGGTAATCCAGGTGGAAAAAGGGTCCCAGCGTTCTCGCACACCTCGCTCTTCCAGCTGGTCCATCTTCATGAGTCGTTTTCCACAATGGCGGTCATACAAACAAAACAAGCCAGTAAGGAACCAAACAGGAAATACGCATAGTGTAGAGTGGGTGTAGATTTGCCTTTATTTTAACATGTTTAAACTCATTTTGAGGTAACATCAGATGAAGCTGGTTTAGTTAGATTTTTTTATTTATTTTGAGTGTTTAGCAAAGAGGAGATGAAAGTCAAAGTTTCTATTTATCCAAAATGATAACCATGCATCTTTTCCTACACCTAACAACGGAAGGGGCGGGGATGTCTCCGCGTTCACTGTGACACCTACGCAGATGACCTGGTTTCGAAGTACAAATCAGACTTAAGGCATGCAAAAAACCTAAATCTACTGCTGCAGACTGAAACATGCTAAAGCGTTTCCCATTAATGAATGAGACTGTGGCGGCCCGCCATAGAGATACAAATTGTTTACGGCCGTAAACAAGCGACAGGAAGAATGCGAGCCACGCTCATATATGGTCAGTGGCGGTTCTACTCCCCGGGCGAGACCCACTCCAAGCGGCAGTTATATCTTTTTCGTAGAGCGCGTCCCGGCCTCCGTTATAAAAATGCCGCCCTGGCAGCCTGGTTTACCCATGCAGTGTTGCCAACTCAGCGACTTTGCCGCTATATTTAGCGACTTTTCAGACCCCTCCAGCGATTCTTTTCCAAAAGAGCGACTAGCAACAAATCTAGCAACTTTTCTGGTGTCACTGGCGGCTTTAAGAGACTCTTAGGTGAAGCACGTATCTTTCCTAGAGTCCCTCTCAGCGCTGCAGTCAGAGCCACAGCATGTTTACCCTCAGGGAGCTAGCGGGATGTAAATGTTATTTGGTCTAAAATAAATAACAGAATTTGAAATGTTTTATCTTAAATAACGGCAACAGTCACTTAATCAACTTGTCCATTGTGTTTTCCTTTCTAAGATAGTGATTTGTAGGCTCCTTAGTGGACCACAAGGCAAAAAAGAAAAAAAGTGTAAAAAAAAAAAAGTGGCCTCAAAAAAGCACTTAAAGGGGAACTTTGTTTTTTTTTACATTGGGCCCTTGATTTTATGTTATTACATCATGTTCTACTCACCCACGTGAGTTTTGTGTCATTTGGAGCTGTTCTGAAGATATTCTGTTAGGTAGAACATGATATAATAACGTAAAATCAAGGGCCCAATGTAAAAAAAAAACAAAAAAAAAACAGGGTTCCCCTTTAAGTGGGTTACACCACACTTAAAAATGTGCAAAACCCCCGAGGGTCAGAGACTTTCCCACCACAGTCTAAAATCCTATTGGAAACACTGATGCTAAGAACACAGAGAAAGGTTCTGTAAAGCGGAACCATGGCCAAATGAGACGCTGCTGGAGCTTTTTTTCTATTTAGTCATTAGACAGGACGGGAAAACCTGTCACTATTTCACAGCCCTCATAGTTTTTAGTCTACGGTGGTTTTCTGTCAGTTTCCTCTGAAGGTAGAAACATAAGTTTTACTCCCCATGGTGGATTCATGGTGGGGGTGTTGGGAGGATCCAGGTGATATGAAGGAGGCCCAGTTCTGTTAAACTTGCCTTACAGGACAGGAAAGATGAAACTGAGGAGACTTGCAGCTTACCTGCAGCATCCTCCTCCTGATTGAGTGTGACGCGGGTGTTTTTTACAAGCAGCTTCCAGTCGTGGGCTCGGGGGGGCTTCGGAGGCGACATCACTTTGCCGTGAGTTTCCTGTTGGAGAAACCAGAGAACAGAAAACTTTGCAGACCACAGCGACCGATCCAACCAACCAGATACACCAACAGCAAGCAGAGCTCTCAGTCCAAATCAGTAGGATCCAAAATTGGCATTAAAGCTGCAGAACTGATGTCAGAAAATTGACAGAGTAACACTGAGCCGTAAGATTTGAATAAATGTAAAATATAAGAGAGTTAAATGGATGTAATTTCTCAGATATAACCAAACAACATACACATATGTAAATAGATATATACTCAAAAACCAACAGAAATTTTAAATTCTGCAAATCTACAAGAGAGCTACACTGACAGGTCAGAATAGAGGAGCTTTATTGGAGAGAAGCTGTATGGATCCTCAGCTCAGGATGGAGAATGTTAAGGTTTTGCAGCTGCCTACAGATCTGGGCTTTGAGAAACAATCCTGAAGACCTTCAGGAAAGGAAAGCTGCAGACATTTAGATGGAATAAGATGATATTTAAATCTAATTTCTGGCCCCACATGCAAAACTTAAAGAAACTCCTGAGGGATTTTGCTTTAATGCAAAGGCAAACCTGGAAGGAATGATCTTAGAGGCTTTAAAACACCTCAGACTGAGCAGGACGTTCCTCTTCCAGCAGGATAATGACCCTAAACATACGGCTAAGGCTGCAAAGCAAAAGTTTGAATCAAAACATAACAATATGTCAGAATAGATGGGTTTCTATCAACGTTGTTTTAAGCTTTAATAGCACCTTAGAGGAGCATGATGGAAACTTTCTTTTCTAAAAGTTTTTATGCTTATCTGTTGTTCTTTTTTCTAAAGAAGAAAATCTGCTAATAAAGATGGAAACAGATTTTTATCGCATCAGTTCTGAACATTAACCGAAGATCAGCTGTTTCCACCGGCAGCGTCTGAAATGCAGGATTAAAATTATATTCTCTCTACATCTCCGGATTATAAGAACATCACTAAAACTAGCCGACATGATAAAGTAAATACAACTTGAACAGATTCATTCATCAAAACTTTGCTCCATTACTGATCTGTAATCTGTTCTGCTATCTCTACTTCCTGTTTATTAAAAAAGAAACTATCTTTATATGTTTGATTGCGGCTTTCAGATCAAAGCTGTTTTTAGTGAAAGCACAGAGCAAACAAAGCAAACAAGATCCTCCTGAATGAGGGAAGCCTCTGTCTGACCTTGCGTTCTGAGGCCTGAGCAGGCCTGCAGCTCAGCAGCACAGAGGGACGGCTCGCACGCAGCAGCTGCCTCAGACGCTCCTTTAGGGCTGCAGCACTGCAGGCGTTAGCAGAGTCCTGATGGAGAGAGAAGATTCACAGCTTATTGAAGAATGGAAACATGATAACCTGTTTTTAAGGAACATTTTTCCACTTCCTGCTGATCAATCTTTATTTAATAAACAAAGATTAACTTCATATTTTCTTTTTTTGTTTACCATAAATACAATTCAGAGGGTGCTATGCTTCCTTTATCAACCACATATTTATCAATAATTCTACGAAAAGCAAATATTGAAAATACTTAGAGATTAAAACCAGACCCAATCAACCTCTAGATATTCAATATTTAAGTTATTAAATGAGTTAAAATATCTGTATATGCAGCTTTGACCAGCAGCTTATAGTGTTTTTTTAATCTATTATTATAAAAAGATCTTAATTAAATTGGTTGTTTAATTATTTAAAGAAAAAAAAAACATTAATAAAATACATACATAAACACAAACACCTGCTTGTTAAATCTGCTTAGCAGGCATCAAACAACCTATTTTAAAAAGAAGTGCCAGTTTCCTTCAGATTTACCTGTGTGAGGCTGGGGGCGACATGCAGCCCCTCGACGTCCAGATGGGACACTTCCCAGCTCACTTTGATCTCATCTTGGACTTCCTGCATGTGGAGCTGAAGCTGAGGAGCAGAGAGTAAACAATGGTTCATCACAGAGTAGCGCCACACACTACAAAAACCATAAGAAGGAGGAGTTAAAAATTCTTAAATTAAGTGTATTTACCCCTTAATTTCAGTAGGTAAAAAAGATGATCTGCCAATGGAATGACTATCTTTCCTCTTAAAGTTAGATAATTAGATAAAACTCACTTGAAATAAGACAATGTAATTGTTTTCTCTTATTTTAAATGTAAATTGGCTTGTTATTGGCAAAGTGTCTCACTTAGCATCTTAATTCAAGAGATAATGCACTTATTTTAGGAAAAAAATGACTCATTTAGATAAAAAAAATTTGCAGTGCAGGAAACTTCGCTGCTCTCCAGTCATTATAGGTACCTCAACAAAAGCATCTACTTTCAAAATAAAAGCCTTTCTGAACCTTTTATTTGCTAATATTCAGAGGGAAGTGGTTAGAGGATTGCGCTTGGAATCCTGAGGTTATGGGTTCAAGTCCCACTCCAACAGACTGCCACTATGGGTTCCTGAGCAAAGTGCCATTGTGCCCCGGGCGTGGCAGTGAATTTCACTGCTCTGTACTTGTAACGGTTTAAATAAAATAAAAAAGCTGCAAAAGAAATAATATCAAGATGGTAATTATGCTGCATCGACCAAACATATAATGATTTAGGTTTAGGCCACGTTTGGTCCAGCCCTAACTGCAAGGAGAGGAAAAGGCAAGTAATACAAGAAGGAGTATTGGGGCCCACTGAGATATATATTAGTGTTGCACCGATACCAGTATCAGGCAGGACCCCGATCCAGCACTAAAATGGTTGTATCAGTATCTAATAGGGCACCAATACCATTTTGAGAGCCAAAAGTTTATTCAACTATTGTCACCCACATATCTTATATATATATTAGTGCTGTCAAAATTATCGCGTTATTATCGTGTTAACGCGAGGCCATTTTAATGGCGATAATTTTTTTAACGTGAGATTAACGCTATGTGGTTTTATGGTACAATTTTCCAAGTACATCCCGCTGCAGCCTGCGGGAAGGCGGGGCTATTTTCCCCCAGTGTATGCATTTCTCATAGGCTTCGAGAGCGGAGCTCCTCAAGGGAAAAAGACGCTCATACACTGGGTGACGCTAGTGCCTTTTCTTTAAGCCCCACCACCAACAAACAAGTTGAGTGTCTGGTAACTAGTAGCAACCTGAAATACACTGAGAAAACAGATTACTGAGGTGAAATGGAATCTGCTACGGCACTCGCTGTCTGTGTACGCCACAGGTCAGTATCGTGTGTGTGTGTGTGTGTGTGTGGGTGGGTGTGTGTGTGTTCTCATTTTTGTTAAGAGGCTGAAAAGTAACTTTCTAGAGCATAGACTACCTCCATCTAGTGATGTCGGTCTATTGATTTTGATGTATTGATTGAAAATTGTTCATTATTATCTTGGTTAATTAACATCTAATGTTAACTGTACTACATTTTATAGCAGTAGGGTAAAATGCTTGTCTTTGTTCAAAAGACTGTATTAACTGTAAAGACTGTCTTTTACATCACCCTGTTTTCAGGGCCTTTTTTTTGGCTACATATTTGTTATTTTTTGCTACATGCCTCCCCATCTTCTTGCCATATGTTTCTATGGCATAAATCAGTGTCTGTGACCTGTTTTCATTTTAAAAAAAGAACATTGGCACAAACCTAGCCTGTATGTATTTTTTTTATGTCATCGAGAGTATTTAAAGGATTTTCAATCATTAAAAAAATGTGTGATTAAAATGCGATTAATCGCGAGTTAACTTAGGCATTGATGCGATTAATCGCGATTAAAAAAATTTAATCGATTGACAGCACTAATATATATATATATATATATATATATATATATATATATATATATATATATATATATAAATTTTAATTACAGAAATAAAGTCATAATTGCAAGAACAAATTCATAATATCAGGTTAAAGAAAATAAAGTCAAATTTGTACCTAAAAACCAAAATAAGTCATCAAAAAATGTGCCTCTGAGTAACTTTGTCCAATGATGAACAAACTGATCATTTTTTTCCCTCTCCAGCCCCATTAAGCTAAATATCAGAAGAGCAGAACATAACAAGTGTCTCAGTAACCATAACATCACTGGATAAACTGGGTTCGTGGCCAAAAAACTCTTCAGATCCTAAACCCAGAGAGAATCATTTTTTCTAGCCAAACATCTCCGTCTGCGACCCCAAAAATAACCAAACAACAAACTGGAGACACCCTAAAAATAAATGTGATTACTTTATATTTATACATGCAATGTTTTCTTTGGCAGCCATTTTTATGTTATATGTATTTTAATCTTATGAAAAAAAAAAAAAAAAACTAATTAGTTTTAGTCAAATATTTCATTTCATATGTGAACGTTTAGTCAAGCTTTAGTCGGATTTAGAAAAATTTCTATTGTATAAAAAATTTACTTCATATAACTGTCAACAAGTGAATATATACACTATATTGCCAAAAGTATTTGCTCACCCATCCAAATTATTGGAATCAGGTGTTCCAATCACTTCCATGGCCACAGGTGTATAAATTCAAGCACCTAGGCATGCAGACTGTTTTTACAAACATTTGTGAAAGAATGGGTCGCTCTCAGGAGCTCAGTGAATTCCAGCGTGGAACTGTGATAGGATGCCACCTGTGCAACAAATCCAGTCGTGAAATTTCCTCGCTCCTAAATATTCCGCAGTCAACTGTCAGCTGTATTATAAGAAAATGGAAGTGTTTGGGAACGACAGCAACTCAGCCACGAAGAGGTAGGCCACGTAAACTGACGGAGCGGGGTCAGCGGATGCTGACGCGCATAGTGCGAAGAGGTCGCCAACTTTCTGCAGTCAATCACTACAGACCTCCAAACTTCATGTGGCCTTCAGATTAGCTCAAGAACAGTGCGCAGAGAGCTTCATGGAATGGGTTTCCATGGTCGAGCAGCTGCATCCAAGCCATACATCACCAAGTGCAATGCAAAGCGTCGGATGCGGTGGTGTAAAGCACGCCGCCACTGGACTCTAGAGCAGTGGAGACGCGTTCTCTGGAGTGACGAATCGCGCTTCTCCATCTGGCAATCTGATGGACGGGTCTGGGTTTGGCGGTTGCCAGGAGAACGGTACTTGTCTGACTGCATTGTGCCAAGTGTAAAGTTTGGTGGAGGGGGGATTATGGTGTGAGGTTGTTTTTCAGGAGCTGGGCTTGGCCCCTTAGTTCCAGTGAAAGGAACTCTGAATGCTTCAGCATACCAAGACATTTTGGACAATTCCATGCTCCCAACTTTGTGGGAACAGTTTGGAGCTGGCCCCTTCCTCTTCCAACATGACTGTGCACCAGTGCACAAAGCAAGGTCCATAAAGACATGGATGACAGAGTCTGGTGTGGATGAACTTGACTGGCCTGCACAGAGTCCTGACCTCAACCCGATAGAACACCTTTGGGATGAATTAGAGCGGAGACTGAGAGCCAGGCCTTCTCGTCCAACATCAGTGTGCGACCTCACAAATGCGCTTCTGGAAGAATGGTCAAAAATTCCCATAAACACACTCCTAAACCTTGTGGACAGCCTTCCCAGAAGAGTTGAAGCTGTTCTAGCTGCAAAGGGTGGACCGACGTCATATTGAACCCTATGGATTAGGAACGGGATGTCACTTAAGCTCATATGTGAGTCAAGGCAGGTGAGCAAATACTTTTGGCAATATAGTGTATATATATATATATATATATATATATATATATATATATATATATATATATATATATATATATATATATATATATATATATATATATATATATATATGTTGTTAGGCTTCTTTTTTTAGCCTGCAATGCCCCATACCCTACAAACCCAAAATCCAACAAAAGAAGCCAAAAGATCCCATTCCAAAGGGGTGGACCTGTTCGTCGGTTCCAATTTGCAATGTTTTCTAAGCCAAAACAAGGCTTTGTTGGGCTACTGTATAAAACCTCGAACTCAACGCTATTCCTGACATTTTGAATTTAAAAAGCTTTCTGCATGGGAAGCAAAACGTCTTCAAACTTCCAGTGGATTGTTTTAAATTTTCTTTTTTTGTAATGACTATGACCCGGATGACTGAGAAGCTTCACCAGCTTTTAAATTACATTTAATTATTGGACTAATCATCCAAAATGAATTTTTAATTATCTATTGTGACATTTAATAGTTCATTTTTAAATTCTATTGCATATTTAATATTTAGATCAAGTAGGGCTGAAACAATTCAACGGAGTCATCGATTATTTCAATAATAGTCAACCTATTTAATAACTGATTTATCGTTAAATGGAATGTAGAGACTCTAAAACAAGCCTTTAGCTAAAAGAGTAAAACACTTAGAGCAGTAAGTATACCAAGATTATGCAAAAATATATCAACATTTTACATTTAAGATAAAAAATGTTGATATATTTTTACCTATCAATATGCTCTATCCGGAAGTCCTCAAATGGAAAACTTTTAGTTTCACCTGTTTCAATTTTGTAAAAAGGATTTTTAAGGAACCTTTTTTATTTGATTATTAATCGATAAATGAAAAAAATTATCAACAGATTAATGATTTGCAAAATAATCGTTAGTTGCAGCCCTAATATCAAGTCTTAGATAAATAGATGTTCCATTCACTTATATAATGCTAAATTAATCTTTTTTAGTCACGTTTTCGTCTTTGATTACATATTTTAGCCATCTATACACCCCAGAAAGAAAATCACAATGATTGTTGATCTATTTTGTTTTATGACCATCTATCCATCTAAATACTGAATGTTTAATTTCGCTTCACTAAGACTGGTTTCTTCCAGCCCTTCAGAAATTATAACCCTTCTCTGTCTGTAGAAGAAACCAATAGAGAGTGGGTAATGTGCCTGAACAGGTCTGGATTCCAGTGTGGGACTGATGCGATGCAAACAATGACCTTATCAGATACCAACAGCAACATCACAGCCTGTGACG